GGGGGGGGGGGGGTTCCCCTCTTCGTTTCCCCTCTTCTGGCTTGACAGGTTGGCTCGCCAGACGTCTCAACCAGACGATCGAGATTACATAGATTCGTTATACTTTATATCCGGTACAGTCGCCTCTTCCGGTCTTCAATCGTCCAGAGAAATACAAATTTTTATATCTTTCTTTGAATCATGAAATTTTATTTTCTCAATCGTTTCCACGTCCACATGTTTTTCGATGATTTATCTTTTTTCTCCAAACGTGCTAATGGAATGCCCTAATATTTGGACAATGCAAACCAAATGAGATATATAGATTTGCTTTTTCTTCATTCTCGACTTCCTCTCTGTGAAAGCTAAACAGACTTTATTTTCAAAACTACCCGGACCTGCCTCAATCCAATTTTTTAGACAGCTTCTTCTTTTTTCTTCATTCGGGATGAAATTGTCAAAGAGCCTATAGGCGAAGCATAAATCTTAGCAACGCTATGGCGCATGCTAATTGGGCGGAATCGTTGGGCGACAAACGTTCATTTATCAAAACGTTGTTATAACGTTTCGTTATGGTTTCGCCTCGTGTAAACAAACCTTCTTTGAAAGGAGTTATAACTCATAAGTATAGTGAATGCAAGATTGCTCGAACTGCCATAAATTATGAGGAATGGAAATTCATCGTAAATCTCCGTGATGCTAATTACGGCTATCGAGGAATACGCGTTAAACCTCCATGCTAATTGGCTGGATTTCCATGAAGCCTGAAATTCCATTCACTTCCGTTCACTCGTCTGAGCTTGCATTAGGTTTTCAAGTCTATCAAATGTATATCATTAAACGATCCAATCCCGAGTTTTCGCGCTTCGTTTAATCTGAAGGACGTGCTACCCGACTGAATTAATTCGTCAATTCTCTCCGTCTTTCTCCCTCGTCCAATTTCTCGCCCCCCCCCCTCTCTCTCTCTCTCTCTCTGTTTCTGCTTCTGCGGCCGCCCAAAAACTCCAGTGACCCGGCAGGAGGCTATCTGCTCTCGTATTTTTAGTGCATCGTAATCACGTTTAACGCAGCAAATCGCATTGAATTTCAAGCTCCTCATGACGCATCCACAAATCCTCTGACCAAGTAGATCGAAAATAAAGGATCATTCGTAATTCAGGAACAATCCTTCGAGCAGATACAATATTGTCATAGACACTTTCTTGAGTCTGATACGAATCGTTACACGTGAATAAATCTTTATCTCCGAATCAACGAATTCGACTTAACGAATTAAACGGGAGTTCAGAGATTATTGAACCAACCGATTGGACGATTTGGTACTTTTTTTTTTTTTTTTTTTTTTTTTTTTCGTTGTTAAAAA